TCAATTCATATTTACAAGTTTATATTTTCTTTTGAATTGATTTTTTATCATAAGAATTGCATATTTTCTGGTATTACAATCTCAATATTCCAAAAAAATATTGACTTATCAAAAAAAGCATAATTCTATATTAAATTAATATACTAGAAGAATAAGTGGAACGAAATAAGATTCAGATATTTAAATATTTCAGAAGAACATTGCAGAAGTGTTTGAGTTAATTTATACCAATTATTTTAAAAAGAATATTATGTTGCTCTGAAAGAAGCACAATCTATATTTATTAATATGTTTGAAGAATATTATGTGGTTATTTTTTAAGAATTACGAATTTATACACTTTAATGTAAATATTGTAATAATTCTAGAGAATTGCATTTTTAATTAAAATGCTTCTAAAGAAGTAATATTTTATTTCTTTCAATATTCTAGAATAATATTGTTTTGAGGTTTCAGAAAAGTTAATATTGTCATAATATGAAGGACAAACTTACTTTTACTAGTAATATGTTCTCCACTATATAAATAGAAATCTACAAAGTTTCTAACAATGCTTCTTAATAGGTACACTCTATTATATTAGTACAATTAAAATAAAAATTATTTTGAACTAGAAGTCCAATAACTCTCATATTTTATTACTTGGCATGTCCAATTAAACCATCGCTGGATCAATAATGATGTAAAATGAGAATTCAAATAAACATTTAATGAAGAATCAAAATATTCTTCAATTCAACAAATCCACATAAAATTCTTGTTCTCTGTATCATAATTTGGTCATTGACATCACTAGATAATGTTGCTACTAAATCCTTATAATCCTACAAGTTAATTAAGGTGATATATGTGGTCTCGTCACTCTCCATGTTGACCATCTAAATATTATTTATATATAATAGATATGATATATCTAATAGATGATTGCAAGTTGTTCACAATCTAAAGTTTGCGAACTTACTGTTCAAATTTTAAATTATGAATATATTTTTTAGAGTATACAATCAAGACGGTTTTGTTAATGATAGTGAGCCTTAATTTCAATATTTTAGTACGCGTTAGTTGGCATGGAGATAATGATTTAGCACTGTTATTTGATATTAGCATCATACAAAATAAAAAAAATTCCCACTATATTTGGCTAATACTCAGAGCCCAACATTTCCATTTAATTATTTTGATAGTGCAATATATGTATAGATGATCCACCACAATGCACTGAGATGAAAATTAAAGAATGTTGATACATAATTTGAACTCTTATGAAATATCTTAAAAGCTCTAGCATATTCTTTGTGTTACAATGTTCATGACCTACAAAATATTTACTTTCAAAATAATACTCTTATATGCTACAAATTGTGTACGAAGAGAGCAACAACACAATCTATTTTTCAACATATCAACATGTGATTAAAGACAAATAATGATTGATAAATATCATCTATGAAGACGATATTGCTTGCATGCTATAACGAGACAACACAAAACATATTTCACCATAATTGCAATAGTGAAAACATTGACATACAAGACATGAATGGTCCGATACAAGAATTTTAATTTATTGAAATTATGGGAACAACTTTTTTTGACAAGTTTTTAATGAAACAAATCTTTTGTAATGTATCATTTAAAGGGGAGCGCCGTAAGTTATATGTCTATTAATGAATGACCATTATATCCCAACAACCATAGTTATTATGATTATTGTATCCCCTATAGATCTAAGTCTTCCCTATAAATCTGAGGTTTTGATTCTCAATTAAATATATACAAGTCTATTTTTCTACTTTCTTCTTCTTCTTCTTATTTCCAATTTATAACATCTTCTCCGGAAAATAATGTACATTTTCTATTTAATGCTTTTGGATTTATAATATACTTTAAATTATTATCAAGGATGCTACTCTCTCTCTCTCTCTCTCTAAAGATTTTTATACAAAATGGGAGCAGAAGAAATGTGTTCTAACTTTTTATAACAATGGTCAAATGAAATTCTGAGATACATTTATTTTTTTAAAATATCATACAATTTTTAAATATAATCTAGAAAATTTTGTTTGTTCTTATTATTTACAAAATATATTCTGACAATGTAGACACTGTGATTATTGATGTACGAGCGACTTTCAAGATAAAGACAGTGATTCTAGATCATCTTGGTGTGGTGGTTGCCAATTCCAAGCGTTCTTTGGGTTGTCCGTAAGTGGGGAACGCAGAAGGCGAGTTTGTGCGTGATTGGTATATTCTTGTCAAATCTGTTGGAACTCAAATATAAGTTATGGAATTTGATTCATTGCTGTTGGTTTAGAGACCATGATCTAATTTTGGCACATCTCCTACTTCTATGTCAGTGTTAGATGCCTACCATGTCGACGTCCCTAAGAGTTAAACCACTAACCTCATTTATAGGAGATTTATGGCCCATCCAAATACCATTTTATAAGGGTTCAACTTTTGAGAACGCCATTTTGATAGCATGAACCTATAGTGGCCTTCATAGCTCTATTACTAGATATGGGAAGTAAAAAAGCCACAAGCATGGCTGATTTACATATGAACTTGTCGCTTTGTATTGATTGTATTACCTTATTTCGTTCACTCATGATTGTAGAAAAAATGTGTTCAATAATATGTTAAGTTGAATCTAAAAAATAGATGTGACTTGCTGCAAAAGAGAAAAAACAAATGAACATTTTTTGAACAAATACATATATGTGTGTCTTGAACTTGATCTCTTCTTGGCAGTTCTCAATACATCTTTTACATCTCAAAGGTTACACTTCGTCGTCTTCTCCTTTGTAAAGATGTAATTGTTGGAAAAAAATGGTTGGGTGGCTGACTTTGGAGCTAAATTTGATGGGATCCGGTTGTTCGTTTTGGAATATGGAAATTGATTTGTGTTCTCCTCCGTGAGTACATCGAAATCATGTATTTACTTGTCAAAAATGATGCTCGAGTGATTGAGAAATTTGTGCTCAAATTATGTCATGTGAAAGGAGTTTATGTCGGTAAGAAAACTAAAATAAACTTGTTCCACTTAAGAAAATGAGGAAAGCAACAACCACTTTATATAAGATTGCACTTTGGAAGGGTGTAATCACGTGTAGTATAGAGACTCTCTCCACCTGCGCGCGCAGGGGGCTGCAAATCACGGATCGAAATGGGTTTCGGACCTTGAACTCGTATGCGAGTGCAACCTGCACACACGAATGTCGGACCGAATTGACCAAAAATTGGCCCCTCAGGCGGGCCTACGTTTTGAAATTTGTTTTTGCTTTCTAGTATTAACTTTTGAGTTTTTGAAACTCCAAAACGTCTTAAACTTCCTTAGTTATTACAAGTGAATTATGGAGACATTAGGAGTTAAAAATATACATAAGAGAACCTTTTTCCTCCAATTCAAACACATGAAATTTCCTCCTTTCTACGTACTATTGAAACTCCAGTTCTACATTTTGCTTCTGCATACTGTTTTCCTTCCAAATCTTGTTTCGATTTTCTGGTGGTGATATTGTTCGAACACTAACTCAGTTAGCCGGAGTAAAAAACTGTTGTGTTCAGATTTTATCAGATTTTACTGGTTAACCGTTGTATTCTAGGAAGCAGACGCTCAAATTATACCTCAAGCACGAACGATGATGGGGCAAATATATTTTAAGGAAACTGTGTTCACACAGGTCTCGGCAATTTCTATTTCTTATTTTGTTATTTTACTGCAGTTAACGAATTATTTTACTTGTTATTTTTTGTAAGTTGTTTATCAAATTTGAACCAAGAAAAGTCACAGATTCTTGGATACGTAAGGGAAGAGAAGCTGAAAAATTAATAGATGTTTTCTATGTGTATCTGAGCATGCAATTAGATTATTTTTCAAACTAGGAAATCATTTAAAATTTGTGTGGTGACTATAGCTTTCGGTTTTAATAAGACAAAAGTCATTGTGATTATCTTGATTACTTTTTCTGTTCATCTTCACAAATAAAGAAGTTTGTATTTCAGCCTAATAGTTTATCCACTTAAATATTACAACAGTAATGTGCTGAGAAGTTGTCACAAATATAATGAGTGACAACAAATCTCAAACTCTAGGGATGGTAATAGGCAAGAAAGGGAGGGGGAGGCCTTTTATTTACACATACTTCCTCCTTTATTGAAGATTTTTGGGAGCTGAGGTGGGCAAGGTGGAGATTAAATTATCTCAATTTCATGCCCCATTTACTAAAAAATAATTTTGCATATTCATTTTTAATCGCATATTTTGCACAAAATATTTTGCATGTAAATCCAAATTTTCTTACTTTTTAACAGCACATTCTCCAAAAAATCACAATTTAAAACTCCATTTACCAAAATAATGATTGTCAAATAGGGGTTAAATTAAAGAGTAATGCTAATCATAGTGAAAACTATTGGTAGTTGCCATGCATGACATATATATGCTAATTTTTTTTGATACATTAATGTAGTAATTTTTTATTGTCTCATGTATCAAATAATAAATTGTCATGTATATGCTACGTAAGATGACTACCAATAATTTTAACTATTAATAACATTATTCTAAATTAAAATAAGATCTGGGATGGGTTGGAGGCTAGACGTTTTGCCATCACTACTCAATTTTGAATGAGCTTAATAAATATGAGTTGTTCAATGCTATAATTAAAATGGGGGAACTAATTGATATAATTTGCAAAGTTTAGGGACCCATTTTAATATTTCCTAAACATTTTTGTGCTGAGACAACACATGCACTGACGTGGGAAAAATGGAAAAAATAAGGGCCGAAGTTGGCCTTTTCATGAAAAGGACAGGGTCCCACCTAACACCTCCATTTTCTCTTTCTCTCTCTTGCACTTTTTGTTGCTTTTAATGTTAATTTATTATATGCTTATCTGAACTCGTGAAAATCAACCAAACGTGGCATTTTGTACACACAGAATCTCTTCTGGAAAGTCCCATTTTTTTCTTCGATTTTCGGGATTTATGCGTGCATGAAATCTGTAGAAACCCTCTGTACTTTTGCTTTCCAGGTATAGTATGATACTCTGTATTTTGGCTTCCTTCACTGCTAAATTTTATAGAATCAGTTGTTCTTGGAGATAGGTTTTTTGTTTGTGTAATGATCTCTTGTGGGTTTTAAGAAATTGTGTGAATCTTTGGAGAATTGAGCTCATAGTTTGTTGGTTGTGGCCCCCCTCTTGTGAGGGGCTGTTCTACAAATAGCATTTCCGTTTTTTGTTCCGATTTAAACTTTCATTATTGACTTTTTCATTATTTTGATCTGTACAGAAAAATAGAATCATTTATAGTTGGTTGAATTTGGTCCTGTCAAGTTTAGAAGATTAATTACTTTCATAATCTATTTGTTTTGAAGTATTAAATCACTGTATTTGGCTAGAGAAAGTGAAATGCGAGCACATTTAACATTGTGATGTACATGGTCTTTTTGATGGTGATGATAGCATGCCATTTCATTTTGATGATTTTCGTTTATACCCGTAAGTGCAGCACGAGACAGTTGCTGGAATATTCTTTGAATCCAATATTTTATACCCTGAAACAAACTCCACGGGATCCTATGTAATTTGCTTTATCAGTTTGAATCAATTATTTGGTTGAAAGTTCTTGAATTGACGGAATAGTCTGATTGAGAAGGAGAATCAGTTGAATTATGGGATATTTATGTGATTTCTGCGGCAAGGATAGGTCCATTGTGTATTGCAAATCTGATGCAGCTAGTTTATGTTTATCATGTGACCGTAATGTCCATTCTGCAAATGCCCTTTCACATCGTCACTCAAGGACACTCGTGTGCGAAAGATGTAATTCGCAACCTGTCTCTGTCCGATGTATCGAGGAGAGGGTATCTCTTTGTCAGAGTTGTGATTGGATAGCTCATTGTGGTTCACATGCACATAAAAGACAAGAAGTTAATTGTTACTCGGGCTGCCCTTCAGCAGCAGAACTTTCCGTGATATGGTCGTTTCTCCTAAATCTCCCTACATTCAGCGATTCTGCTTGTGAGCAGGAAACGGGGTCCCTGATCATCACTGGAAGCAGGCTACAGGATTGCCAACGTGCCGAAGGAGATAATAACATTCAAGATTCATCTATTGCAGTCGGCGAGAATTGCTTACGTAATGAGGATGTTGATATAGCAACTGTTTCGATGGAATCTACAATGCCTTCGCTTAATTCCAAGGTGAACAATGGAGAACAAGTGATTGGATCTTCTAATTCTTTTATGCACAAGGTAAGAAATATTTTGTTCCAAGAGCTAGAACATGTTTTCTATGCAGTATTGGACACTATAATGAACAAAACCTTCACTATATTATTATATTTTGTTCCAAAGATCTAGCACATGTTTTCTATGCAGTATTGGTCACTATAATGAACAAAACCTTTGCTATATTATTAAATAGAGTCTAGTGCTATACAATCCTCCTTGCCAAACATGCACTTAGTGTATTGTTTACTTTGCTAATTTTTATCAGAGCTCTTTGTGATCTAGTCATACCTGTCTTTTAACGATAGATCACGTGAAACTACGCACACATACTTGTAACTGGCCTATAGTTATCCAATTACTTGGCAATAAGAACTTAGAATTAGGATTTGCAAGAAAATACCCCAAATTATTCTATCTTCCTTAACCCTATGTCAAAATGAGGCTTTAGAGAAATATTGTCACGGAAGGATAACAAAGAAGATAAATATGATCTCAGATTCTCAGGATCCCTTTAGTCTTGATGAAATCGAAAACTTCAAGCAATATAATTATTTTCCAATATTGAACAAAGTTAAAGAGAATATTTTTTGATGTCAAGACTTTATACAACCTCGGGAAGGATGATGACAAGAAGCAATGATCCTACAGGCATCTTCCCAAAATGATTTGTCTCCCATCCTCGCATCCTGTTTACTGAACCAAATGGAAGATAAAAACCTTAATATAAAAACTTCTTCTTAAAAGAGCTTGTCAAGATCATATTAGAATCCCAACCATTTAGATCCATTACAATTTTACAACCCGTCTCCATAAAGAGAATTGTTCAAAAGAAATCTCCAAATTTATTTTCATGCCAAATTATTGATTTTTTGCTTTCCTACCTCCTAGAGGAAACTAAAACTCTTTATCTATCAAATACTCCTTTTGACCTTCTGCTTAACCTTCCCCCAAAGGACCATTGTTATTTTTCTCTATATAAGCAGTCACCTCATCCAACATCGAGAATCAACATTTAATAAATTGGGATACTAGGCAAAACAACTTGAATGTGACTTACTCTACCCACTGCTGCAATCTTGATGTATGCTATTTTGATTTTGTTCAAAGCATGTAGAATAATGATACTACATCCCATCGATTGGTCATTTCTGGCTTTCATTTTAAAATGCTAAAGGATTGGGACATGTATGTTATAAGTAGGAGCATGACTTACTGATAGGAATGCTAGTATAATTCTGTTCAAAGAATCAATTATTTATCTTCTACTCTTTTTCATGAGAAGCACTAAGAGTCTCGTCTCGCTAATATGCAGGCTTTCTTATGTGGATCAAAGGGATCTGCTTTATGTGATGATGATGGTTTTTATGATGATTTCAATATGGACGAAGGAGACTTAAATATTGAGAACTATGAAGAATATTTTGGTGCAGATGTTAATAACACAGGAAAGCTTTTTGATAATGATGGGATTGATGCACTATTTGCAACAAAAGATCTGTCTTGTTCCAACTGTCACAGTGCTTCTGCTGCTGAGGTAATTCCTTCAAATGGGAGTGCTTTATCCTATCTCTCTGCTACTGTGATTTCGCATGTATTTCATTCACAAACATGAATGAGATTTTTAGTTGTGGTAGATATATGTTTTCACCATTCTAGTTATATATTAGGACATGTGTGAGACGTGTATAAGATATCTGAATAACAGTGTGCTAATATTGAGATATTAAACTTAGTTCCAGCCAATATTAGCATCATCAAAAACATTGTCATCACCACCACCATCATCCTCCCATTCCATTTTGTTCTTCTCGGTTACTGCTTTTGTGTGTTCCAATTTTTCTTCTCTAATATTCAAATTTATAAATTCTTATTATTTCCCTGATTAAATTTAAGTGGCTGAAAGTTTTGATGCGTGACTTCAATAAATGTTACCATAACTATCTCCATGAAGAGAGATAATTCTAGAAAATTGAATCGAAACCCTAAGAGACAATAGTTTAATTGTGTTCTGATGGAGCAAACTCAAAAGAGACAAATAAAAAAGGGGGAATGCTATAGTTATAAAAAAGGGGGAATGCTATAGTTATTCTTTTTGAATAGTAAAGAGATACTGTTACAGGATAAGAAAATTGACGTTTTTAGATCTATTAGAATTTAGAATCAAAGAATGAATATAGTTGGAGATTGTTATTACTCATATGTGAAAGTTCCAATAATTTAATATATAAAAACATGAGAATGTGATGTTTCCAGGATGGAGATCAAAGAGACATTATAAACCTTCTGTATTTGTTGTTATGGAAATGGACTTTATTTCATTTTCATAATACATCCTGCATAATGTAATGCACGCCTTGGTCTGACTTGGGATCAATTTTAAAGTCAAGAGAGTATGAATTTTGTAATTTCTTACTATTTAACTCATTTATCATAGGACACGACCGCAGCCAACTCCCTGGCGGTCCAAGTCCTAGCTCCCTATGTAACTGTTGGAAAGGCAGCTCAAGTTATAATACCACTTTGACAAAAAACTAAACTTTCTAATTCTTGCCAATGCACTCCTTGATATCATCCCTGTAGACACCACACCCATGTGACACTGCGCAAGTTTCCCAAAGGTTGAGTACTGGGACATTAAGTTTTAAAATGTGGGTGCCCAAACCTTTGATGCCATATTCCTACAGGTGCTATGCCATTTGACTGCAGTAAGTACTTAATGAATCCCTTCTTCAAGTGTATAAAGCTGTACACGTCTACACCCTCTTGCCGGAGTATTCTGGGTTTGATCCTGAGTGACAAAACAAGTTGAATTGAACTAAAAAATGCAATCAGCAGCACGAAATTGACTTAAATAAAAAAATTCTTCGTATTTGGACCACATGTTTTGATGTCAATGTGCAATGAAGTGTTGTTATTTGTGCATCCTGTGTGATCTTAGGAGTTTGTGTCAATTTCCAACATAAACAACCTAATTTCTTTTGTAAGCTTTAGGTGGGATTAACTTTGAATCATTTCCGTGTGTCTGGTGGCTCCTGAATCTGCATAGAATTGTTGAGCATTGATTTCATTTGGATTCATCGAGTCTTAAGGCATGTGGTTGCTATCCGTTTTTTCCATGTTTGACTATTTTTTCTGCCTCTGAGGTTTAATTTGTAGTATATTATTAAAGAGTCCGGACGGATAAAAACCACATCCTCTGGAATTCTGCCACCTCCTCGTCCATTTTCACCCATTTCTTTCTGTCCCAAGATGTTCTGAGCATGTCAAGAGCTGATGTTTGCTTTGTCTCCTCTTTATCTGTGGAAAGCATTTGCTCATGACTTTGCTGGGTTAAGGAATAACTTACTGAATGTTGGGTATGGCAGCATTGTCAGCATGGTTTTTCTAAATTTAAGATACGTCCAAAGGCTGCATGCCAATTGATTTTTTTATTTTTTTTATTTTTTATTGATATGGTGGACTTGAGCATGGCAGCAAGGTTGTCACATAATGGTCTAAAGCTCCTAAAGGAGTTGGAGAGTCTTTCCCCAATGACAATAACTGATCTCTGGCCACTGATTGTCTCACTCCAGAGCCTTCCAAACCTTCAGAGCTTTATTTGCACCAATCAACATGCTAAGCATTTCTTCAGACAAACTACCAAGGAGCCATGACATGAGAGGCTATCGATGTTCACCCAATTCACATACTGAGAATTATCAACCTTCTCTCTCAGAAGCAAAACCAATTTTGCTGTCTTCTACAGGCTTTTCCCTGAGATAAGATGCAGATTTTCCAGGCTTCTTATCTATGGAAAAGCATGCGATCTCCAAAGGATAAAATTAGTTGAATTCAGTTTGGTTGAAATCAAACTAGTGCAATGGCGGAAGGAGTGAATGAGTTTGGGTCGTCGTGTGTGGCACATGGACAACTTCAAATGAGTAGACTCTTATACGATTAAACTCTGAAAACATGTTTGTGCAAGCAAAAATCTGCTTTGATAAAAAATTGTGGTGGCATCAAATCATGTACTGCACAGCTTGTTTTGCTTCATTACAAGTGCATCCTGTCAACTCAAGCCTAATTTCTTATAAGTTCCTTGAAGTCTTAGGATAGTTCTTCCTGTTAAATGTTTAAATATTTAACTGTTGTCTTTCAGTTGTGTAACTTCGAGGATCTGGGTTGCCCCTTGCATTTGTCTTTTATTTTTTATATGACTGAACAGTTATCAAGATTGAGTATTTTTTGTTCAATTGACAAGATATTATGCTCACGACCATTTCTTGACATTGATATGGAATGGTAAGATTAGTAATCATGGTAGAATGTGTTAAAATGTCTATTCAACGTTTAAGTGTGTGTGACTGGATGAAGTAAAAGCTAGACAGAAAGGAACTTATCATGTTAAAAGGAAAGTATGACAGTAGTAGGGTTCTGTCTTTTTTTGATGATTTTGTTCCTTAATGTCCATGTTCAAATATCAACATAGGACGGTGTTAATAATTCTCCACGATGGTCGGCTACTTAATGTGCACCCCCCAGGACGTCGACTCCCCTGAGGCGCTCTACGCTCACATAGGCCGTCTACCATTACGAGGCCGTCGACCCCCACTATACTTAGCCAAATAAATGGCCCCGAGATAGATGAAAATCACCAAACAACAAACGCGGGAATAACCAACCACTAGACGAGTGGGGGTTGACGCTATAGAACATGGGGAAGTAGGAAGGCACACGGGGGACACGTGGCACAACGAATCATGGAACATGGAAGTGCCATCAGGTGCATATAAATATCCAATGTGGGAAGAGGTATGAACTCTTAAAACCCGAACTATTTGAATTCCAATACATTCTCTTTCTATCCACTTAAACCGTATACTAATTCTCACGCTGGAGGTATAACGGGGGAGGAATCCCAGACCTCATTTTGTAGGTAACAAACACTGATCGGTTCACCTGGAACACCATCCATGTCAGGGAGGACACGAAATTTACCTCACTAACCATCACTCTCGTCGGATGAAGAAGATATAATGGTTTTGTACATGATCAAAAATACGAGATGAATGAAGAGGGGGAGAAGAAATTACCTTGAAGAGGAGGAAGGAGTTGAAGATTTTGACAAAATGGAAAAGGGAGTAAATGGGAATCACCACAACTCTTTAAATAGTGGTGGAAATTTGAAAATTTTGAATTTTTTTGGGGGGAAATTTCTCCCCAATAGTGAAAACCAATTGTGGAATGCCACACGTGCGATGTTGACCCGTTTGTTTACCCGAAAATTCGATAAAAAGAGCTGTTCCGAAGAAACGGCTATAACTTTTTGCACAAGTGTCGGATTGTCTATTATAATATGTTATCAGAAACTTCTCTCAGCGCCTTATATCGTCTCAATCGGGGTTCCTCGGTTGAGGTCGTTTCCAGCCTCAAATTCGCAGTTTAAGGCCTTCAACCGGTCAATTGAAGTTTTAGCGTTATTTTTGTTTTTCCCTTTTTAGTTACTTTGAACCCCAAATTTTCGTTCTGCGTCAGAAAAGGTTACCTCTTATCAATAAATATCGACAAGAGGCAGAGGGGCTAGTGATATAAGACGTTGTTAATAATTCTCCACGATGGTCGGCTACTTAATGTGCACCCCCTAGGATCTCGACCCCCCCGAAGTGCTCTATGTTCACATAGGCCGTCTACCATTACGAGGCCGTCGACCCCTACTATACTTAGCCAAATAAATGGCCATGAGATAGACAAAAACCACCAAACAACAAATGCGAGAATAACCAACCGCTAGATGAGTGGGGGTTGACGCTATAGAACGTGGGGTAGTGGGAAGGCACACGTGGGACACATGGCACAACGAATCATGGAACATGGGCGTGCCATCAGGTGCCTATAAATACCCAATGTGGAAAGAGGTATGGACTCTTGAAACCCAAACTATTTGAATTCCAATACATTCTCTTTCAATCCACTTAAACCGTATACTAATTCTCACGCCGGAGGTACAACGGGGGAGGAAGTCCGGACCTCATTTTGCTGGTAGTAAACACTGATCGGTTCAGCTGGAACACCATCCACGTCAGGGAGGACACAAAATTTACCTCACTAATATTTCATCAACTAATAAGAACATGAGGTTGAGAAATTAGAATAACTTTTATGGATAGCCCAGATTCAACTGGAGCGTTAAATGAATGTTGGAAAATGGAATTTCATATACCCTAGCTGACTGAGGACTGGCAATCTGACACCACTACCATATGCCATGCAGGCGTCCAAAGCAGTATGTAGACCAATAGTCATATCAATTACGACTATATTTCGGTTTTATGAATTACTCTATTTGAGAACTCTTTTAAGACTTAACAAGACTTGGTGATATGGGGATATATATCTAATGGATGCTTAATTGGAACGAAAGTTATTTGTTTTATTCGAGTGAGATTTCTGCAGCATTCAGTTCTAGCTGTGTCGAATATCTTAATATTATTTCTTATTTGGCTTAAGGATACATTTTCCAGAAAGACTATGAGTGGTACATATGATAAATCTTCTCATCCTTCATGTTTTTGGCTTGGCATGGTAGGTGGCACATGATTAATATAAATTCATTATAATGAACAAGTTCTGTGCTTATACCCTGTGAGTTTATTATAATTCTATGATCTTTGGAAGCATGATTGGGCATAGTTTATGAACATTTTGGCAGTCATATTGAATGGATAATGAATTTAGTTTCTTAATATCTCCTCAGGTGGCGTCTGTTGGAGGGGTGAATGTGGAGCAACCAGCATGCAGCACTGCAGCATCTGTGGATTCCGTAAAAAGTTGTAAGAAGGAACCAAGCTTTCATTTTGTGAGTCAAACACACTCAGACTTTTCAATTCCAGGCAGTAATGGGGAGCATACTCGAGATTATCAAGATTGTAGAGCAACTTCTTCAGTGCTTCTCGTGGGAGAGCCACCATGGCATCCTCCAGCTCCTGAATGTTCGACGCCTTCTTCTAGCCGGAGTGATGCTGTAATGCGGTACAAAGAGAAGAAGGCAGCAAGAAAGTGGGTTTCTATAATTCTTCTCCTCTTGGTTTTAGCCTGTTAAGTTGAACTGTGTTTAATTTCTACGTGGAACTAGCAACATTCAAATCTTCCAAGATTGGTTGTTTGGTTTAAAAACAGAGTCACCAAACTTAAACCGTGTTTCGTTTCAATTCTGGCACTAAATTGTCATTGTTAAATCACGCACATTTCTTTTCCCTCCTGAACTCTATTTATTGATGTATCAGATTCGAGAAGAGAGTTAGATATGCATCGCGTAAGGCAAGAGCAGATACAAGAAGACGTGTGAAGGGACGTTTCATCAAGGCTGGTGATGCTTATGATTATGATCCATTGAGCCAAAACCGAAGCTACTAAGTAAAATCCTGCTCTTTAATCATATGGTTGTATCTGGGGGATGAATCATCTTTGGCAGAAATATCTAAGTCGGTTGTTTGCTATTCTAGAATTCTTGTTTCGGCACTTCATACAGTATCTGCCCCCAACACATTTGTTCAGCAGTCGGCCTCTTGGGAGAGGGAAAGTCGACACCCCACCTTGGATTGCAACTGCTGCTCATGTTCTCTGCGCTAAACTTTTCTTGGTTTCTTCACGATTTAATGTAAGTCCAACTTAGTAGCCACATGGTCATGGTAATGATATCGCAAAGGTTTTTGTATTAAGTTATGCTGAAGATAATAAGTGCCATCATTTCAATGTCAATAATATTCAGGTAGTCCTTGTACCAAAGTTGTTAGTGGTCAGAAAACTTGATAATGTATTGTACATAGCATAATTATTTAATAAGTTGGTTGGTATCAATCAGCACAAAATTTCAATTGTAAATTAGTTCATAATGAGAGTCATTAAAAATATATTACAATTTCCCTGAACTTTTTCATTTTTCTTTTTCCATATATAATTTACTCTGTTTGCTTAAGGGATTCATCTCCAACCTGACTGCTGCAATATTCCAAGTCCCCATTCTTTTTTTCCTTCCTAAGAAACCAGGATAGAGCTGCTTTTGCAATACCCCTATAAGTATCTAATGTCAATCAAAGTAATTGTTTAGTTTAGAGCAATAATATTTTACTTGAGCAAAGGTGTAGAATAGATCGTCACTTGTGATGGTCGAGTTCTGTTACCAATTCCCAGACAGATTCCGGCATCAGAAAATTATACGTGTAAGTAAAATACACAACCCGAACTCCTTTCTCTAAGATTTGCTATAAAAAAAGGAACACAGTTCTAAAAGTATGAAGATTTAGCAGATTAAATAGAAGACAAACATGATGGTGCAATACATTGAAGAAAATCCAACCTAAAATGCTTCCGGTAACACACCCTGCGGCCAGCTAACCTGATCAATCTTTAGATGGAAAAGATTGCATGTTCAACTTTTTCTTTCGTTTTGTACACTACAGAAAATATCTTGGTTTCTCTCCCCTCCTGGTCGCGAGAAAAAAACAGATCATGGGGGCTTTAAATTATCTCGAACCAATTTGCTAGATTACTCATCATTTGATGACGAACCGGTTTTTGCACCTCCGACGTGGCCAATAGATCCTAGCTATATCCGCATTTACGTAAGCCTTCTTTTTACACACTTAGACAAATCGTTAATCACCAATGACCTTTTCCGACAGTGGGAGAGAAGGTCGCGAGCACTCCAATGGTCAAGTCAGTTAGCAAAATGAATGTATTGAGTGCGGGATATGAGCCACAAAAAGTGTATGTATGCCTGGAATATTTTAACGAGAGAGAGAGAGAGAGCAAGTTCACATTTGTAATTGTAAAGTTGCATTACCCTTAAAATGGCACCAAGCGGAAGGGGTACGATACTGACCATTGGATCTAAAGACACGTGGCCTCATCAGATGGCCGAGGTGTCAACCCATCAATCATATGTTGACGAATATTTAATGCTTTATGAAAAGTAAACTAATGATTTGACTTTTAGGCGTCTGCTGCATAAACGTCACATCAATCAATTATAGAAAGATTTTTTTATCTTTTACGGATCTCTGTGCAAAAGATCTCTTGGGAGATGCCTTTCAATGAAGAAGAGGCTTGCTATCTATGGCTTTCTTCCTATTGCAGCAGCCACCTCGTCTAGGCCATGGAGGTCAGCCTAGGCATGGCACCTCGGTGAAAGTGGAGCGTCACCCCGATTATCGTACATGTGGTTTCGCTTCAGCCAGGTAATAGGATGATGGGCGTGTGGGCCTGTTTTTCTTGCTAGCTGGCTGCCAAGTGGAGATGACCTGAAGAATCTCCAAAAGAGGCATAACAAACCTGAATCTGATGGCCTCCCAAAGTCATCTGCTGCCATCGTGTCCTAAAAACAGAGGAAGAGCATTCATACAAGGAAAACAAACTTATTTACTGTCAAGTGAACATTTTAAGCTTAGCCAAACATGCACTAAAACCACAAGAAACAGGAAGGGTGTCTTCTAATGCACCAACCGAGAAGGAATAGGTTGGAAGACATTACCTGCATTTTATCCTAGTCTTTCGGCTTGAAACTTGTTAGCATTAATATGTAATTATCATGAAGAGGAGCCAGTGTAGGTCCTTCACCATCCACTGAGCTACTACATCCGCCTACCTGCATGTCACGAACCATTGAAATTTGACAGTGAAAATCGACTCCCAAAACAGTACTACAAGAATCGGTGCTGAACATCCCTCATGTAATTGTGCAGGCTCCCGTAGCAATAACATATTTTGGTTCGAACAATTGGTCACATAATCTGTCAAAAGAGAGCCATTTTTCATTGTTACTGTTCCAACTGTTAAAAATTAAATCTACTCCTCAATCTTGGTTCTAGTCCATAATGATCGTCGCATTGTGATCCTATTAGCGAAGAAAATTCAATTTTAGAAGTTTCATGGTTCAGCCCAGAAGAATGACCAAACGAGATATGAGAGAGAGAACCTTATCAACAGTCATAGCTGATATGATTGAGAAGATACCATTCCCAACTCTGAGAAAAAGGCTTCTTTATAACTGGCATAGTTCGAAGACTTGATAAGGATCTAACTGTGCAAATAGACACGATCATAATCATAAAACAGTAAGGAATGAAATGACAGTATATACGAGTTCAAGTAAATACCAATATGTAATTCATTTTAGAGACATACAGAGGTAATAGATTTTAAAATTGTGCAGTTTTTTGGGGTCAAAATGAACTAGCAAACTACTCTAGAAGACATGAACTACTTATACAAAGAGAGACCTTGAGAAGATTACCTTTTGAAAGATGTTTCACGATTTGTAGGGAATTTCTAGGAACCATGTCACGGACTCTTAATGCTTTTGTAATCTTACTAATATCGACATTAGGTTTGTACTTTGTGCCGCTCTATAACTACAGCGCAGCGTGGCAAAAGGTCCTTTTCAGATCAAGTACTAACTTTTTCATCACTTATTTCTATCTATTTATAAATAGATCCCAAACATACTCATAATTGCCCCCAAACAAGCCATGTCCAATAAAATGACATGATGAGAAATTCTGAAACTAAATATTGGATCCGGATAACCAGAGGAGAATCATAAGATGTAAAAATACTGATTTAGTTTCAAACTGTGTATTGGATCTCTTGATACCTTTTTCATTTTTTGATCTTGAAGGATTTAATCATTTCTAAACATTTTCAGCCTTGTTTTTTGTTGCGTAATTTTTATATTGCAAGTGTACGATATCGAACAAGTAATAAAGTGGACGTAAGAGTCCGGATTATCGTTCCCACGAGGACTAACTTTAGTGCTTAAAATATTTCTCCTACTACTATTTGATGAAAATAAACGAACTCAAAATTCAGATTGTGATGAATGTGGATGTCTAGAATAACTAAATTCCTAAAACGAATGAAAATTTATGAACGAATATTGGAGATAAACAGATCGAAGATTCAAATAT